GTATAAAGGGAGACTTGATCAATCTCACAGTTTGCTTTCTTCATAGGGAAAATGTATGTCAATTTCTCAAGGAGAAAGAATGTTTTCCTGACAGTTGGATTTGAAGTAAGTTTTTTTGCATGGACCTTTCTATATGAGTGATTATATTAATTAGTATGATAGGTCTCCCTATAGATGCTCAAATTTCAATTCCTAGAACTTGTGAACATGTTAACTTTGTACACAAAAGGCACTTTACAGTCACGAGCAAGTTAAGGACCTTGTGATGGGGAGAATAGTCTGCATTTTTGAGGTGGGCCCAATCTAACCACATGGAACCTTTAAAGCCTGGAACCTTTTCCACTTAGAATTAGAGGGAGCTGTGATCCCAAGCATAACCAGAATGATGCAATGCTGCTGACTTTGAAGATGGATGAAGAAGACTCTAAGCTAAGGACTAAGTGAAGCCTATAGATGCTAAAAAAGGCAAGCAAACACATGTAACCCTGTGAGCCCTTGAACTTTGGACTTAAATAAATGCAAGATGATAAATTTCTTTTTATAAAGTCATCCAAATTTTGGGATCTAAAAAAATATAGCCATATAAATCTAATAGTTTTATTTTGGCTCAATAACAAAAACTTACCTACTTGAACTAGATAAGCAAAAGACCGTGTGTTTTGTTATAAAGATCTGGATTTTGAGGGCAGGAATGCAACTTATTTTGGAGAGAATACATACCAAGACCAGGGATGGGAAGTTGAATTATTTTAGTCATTTTTCTTCTTTGTAGATTTTTTTCATCATTCCTGTTGTTTTCTATCTTTCCAGCAGTCTGCTTTTCTGCAATTCTCCAGGCCACATGGTTAAAAACAATGTCTGGAGAACTCCTGGTTTGCTATGCTAATGATGCTGTATGTTTTCATATTAGCTACCTGGAGAGAGGTTGAAATCTCGCAGTCCTAATTCCAAATTCCTGGGAGAGTGATGTTATTGGCTTGCTATGAGTCAGGTAACCTACTGTTGGAGCAATCATCTACAGCCTGGTTACTAAGGGCCCAAGGCTAGTTTTCAGGAAAAAGATACAAGCCTATACTGCTGTTTAAAATGCAATTTGCAACTCAGTTGGTGGTCAAGGAGCCAGTTAATGGGTGGAAAACAACCTTAAAAAATGATAACAACTCTACATGACACAGTTTCAGTAATGTTTTATAAAACTTGATTCAGTTATTGAATACATAAGTACAAGGATAGTGGGTGATAGTGTAAAGCACATTTCTTTTTTATTAGTATATGTTTGCAACACATAATTACATTCCTCTTTGGTGGACAGTAGTCCAGACAGTCTAAAAAACTTTGGGCCTGACAATGTGGTAGGATTGTATTACAGAATACAAACACGATTCCTAAAATAATTCCTCTGTAAATACACAGGTGCCATGAATACTTTTTTTAAAAAAAAAACTGCATTTTTTCCAAACAGCTTTAAAAAAAAATATAATCCAAGAGAATAAGGTTCTATTAGTTATTTGTTGCTATGCAACTTTAAGGAGGAAAGGCTTACTTTTGCCCAGTTTCAGAGGTTTCAATTCATGGTCAGTTGGCAGTAGGCAGAAGCATCACAGAGGAAGGGCACAGGAGGGGAAAACTAGTCACCTCATGGCAGCCAGGAAGTAGAGCAAGAGCCGGAGAGGAATGGGCCATGAACAAAATACAATCTTTCAAAGGCACACTCCAAATGACCTACTTCCTCCAACTGGCCTTGACTCCTAAGAGCCCACTGAGCCATGAACTCATTAAGGACTAACCCATTGATGAGGTCCCACCTCTGAACATTACTGTGTTCGAAATCAAAATTTCCTGCAATATGTGAGTGTCTGCAAGATACTTTATTTTAGCCATAGCAAAGGCTAAAACGTGGCTTGGTACAGGCAGTGTTTCAAGAGTGAGGACAAAGTGTTACAACTTTCTGATGGTCTGGCTCAACCTAGATTAAACTCTAGTCTAGTGGTTCTCAATTAGTTTTGTATCTAATTAACCTGAATTCCTTTAAAATAATTTAATGGGATCTGTTTAATCAAATTTCTAGAAGTGTAGCCTGTCAATCTGTATTTAAATGCAAAATAAAGCACAAAACAAAAATAACTCCTTAGATGCCTTTCATATGTGGTCAGGTTCAGCACACTGAGGATGAGTCATCTGCCTATCCTTCAAATAATTCTCCCTAACTGTAATTTCTCTAAATCAGATTTTTGTTAGGCATCGGAATGTAAACAGTTGAAAGTTACTTCTTGGAAAGAGTCAGGAATAAAAACCTTGAAGACATAGGGGTAAGTAGAAAATTCATGAACAGGAATCCAACCGCACGGGAAATAAATCCCAGAATCAATAACTGGGACCACGTCTTATTAAAAAGTTTCTGCACGTCAAAAGAAATCTCCAGCATAGTGAAAAGAAAACCCACAAACTGGGAAAAAAATCTTAGTGAACTGTCCCTTATTCTGTCTAAAACATATAAAGAATTTAAAAAAATCAGACCCCCAAAATTCAAAGATCCAATCCAAAAATGGGCATCTGAGATGAATACACAATTCTCAGATGAAGAAATACAAATGGCAAATAAATACATGAAAAAATGTTCATCACTATTAGTCATTAGAGAAATGCAAATTAAAACCACACTGAAATTCCATCTCACTCCTGAGAGAATGGCCAGAATCAAGAAAACCACCACTAACAAATGCTGGAGAGGCTGTGGGGAAAACGGAACTCTCCTACACTGTTGGTGGGTACAACCTTTGTGGAGGTCAGTCTGGAGATTTCTCAAAAAGCTGGGACTGGAAGTCCCATTTGTTCCAGCTACTCCACTTCCAGGCATCTTCCCAGAAACTGAAAACATCATACCACAGTGATGCTATAAACCCATATTTATAGCAGCACAATTTGTAATAGCCAGATCTCGGAAACAACCTAAGTGTCCACCAACTGAAGAATGGGTAAAAAAATTGTGGTATTTTTATACAATGGAGTACTACTCAGCTATAAAGAAGGATCACATTGAGATATTTATAAATAAATGGGCGCAGCTTGAGGCCACACTCATAAGCGAAATAAATCAAACATGTATAAATACCGAATAGTTTCCCTAGTGTAAGAAATGGTAAGAATACATAAAAGTATGTGGTAATCATGATTCCCCATTGTATTGCTTTGAAGCCTTATAATGTTTTCATTCATTAATTGGAATGGTTTTATTCTGGGTTGTTTGATTTTATTGTCTGTGATGCTATGAACAGCTATTTTGAAGAAAACAAGACATCACAATAGCTAGTGCTGATTTAATATCATCTTATTTTGAAGTTCCTTGAAGCTTTTGTTCTTCTGTCTCCATTGGCTTTATCATGTTATATCTTATTGGATTTTATTATATGTGAGAGTATAAACAAAATCTTTTATAGAAAAGAAGATAATATAGAAACTATTGTTTGTTTTCTGTTAGTTGGTTCTAAATACCCTGTAAATACTTTCAATCTCTTGAATGTTTTTACACTGTCTTGATAAGTTTGATGCTATAGTATACAAAGTTATACTCAAATATTTCAAGGAAGGAGACACTATGGTAACTACTGTTATATCCGGTTATCTTGTGGTAAAACACTATGTTGCTTAAATTGTTCTGTTCTGACCTGTGCTGTTATTTTGTTATGTCCTCTTTTATCTTAATCTCCTTTTTTTATTTTTATTTTTTAAAAAAAGAAAGTCTGGAATGTACAAGGCTTCATAGCTGCTTGTTTAAGCAGATCCATATACTTCACAGTTCAGTGAAGCAGACAGTAGAGTTTATCTTCTCTTTTAGACACTGTGACACTGACATTCATGTTTGGGTAAATGGCAATTCCATCTTTCCACAGGGGCAAAATAGGGGAGGCAGAGAAAAAATGTTTGCAGGCTGTTTCTTGTTAGACAGTAATCCTGTACAGTAGTGCTCTAGAACAATGTCTGGCCAAGATCCCAAATTTTTACAGTGTAAGACATTGGTGAAGATTATTTATAATTGAAAAAGAAGTTCAAAAGTGAAGTTACCAAGAGTCATCATAGTCATTTTTAGCTTCTGATGAAGAGGACAGAATTAATTACTAAATGAACACCTACTTCTAAACAATAAAATGAATTGACCTGTTCTACCTAGTTATTTACTACCAATCAAATTAATTTTAAAGAACACCTGCCTTAAATAATTAGGCTAGTATCAGGACAGCTGAATTTCTTTCCCACAGCTGTTACAGAGCAGGACCCCAGTCCTCAGAAGCCATTGGTAGTTCAGGTCAATAGATACATTAGCATACAGCTGAAACCTCTATTTTTAGTCTCCTCTGCAGGCTGCATGCATTAGTATGGACCACAGAAATCTGTGGCTAACGCCTGTTCCTGGAGTGTGTCATTTGATCTGTCAGCAGTCTTTTAGGGATTCTGAAGGGGCAACCACTATATATCCCAGAGGAGTGATGCTCTGCTCAGCTTTTTGTCTTTTCAGGCCATCTCAGCACCCGCTGCAATGCAGGGTTTGCAGTCCAAAGGACTGGATGCCCAGGCCTGGGCCCTAAATGCGACTACTGGCCTGAACATCATCTCGCTACAGTGATGTCACTGTATAAAGCTTTACTTTCATGTCATTTATGGCTGGTTCTCAGTGCTCCAGTCAGGATTTTCAGTTTGGTCCCCAGAAGAGCTGCAGGTCCAGCAGCCTTGGGTCCCCCCATATGACACTGGGACACCGACCACTGTTCGCTTCGCGGCTGGCGACTGCGCCCGAGCTTCACAACAAGGAGCCCCCCTCCCCGTACTCCCCCCTCCCCCCGCCGTCCGAGGACTTTGTCCCCGCGCGGCCCCCGTCCACCTCGCCGGAGCCGCTGGCCCGTCAGAAAGTTACTTTCTCCTGGTTCCGGCTCGGCGAACACAGGCGCGAAGTGTGCGCGCCTTCGGGGAGCAGCTCCGCCCGCTGTCTGCCCGGGTGAGTGGCGTTCGGGTCGCAGCTCAGTGTCGGCTCCAGGCGGAGGGCGCGGGCGCCGGCCGTTGCTATGGCAACGCGCAAGGCAAACGGGCCTGGGCCAGCGGGTCCCTCGGGTCTCCCTGGGCCCAGCCGTTGGGAGCCCACTTTCTCCTGTCTTGTATATGGGGTGGGCCCTGGCGGACCGGTTCGTCTAACATCTCACGTCCACTCCGTGCTTGTGAACTTTTTTGAAAGTCTGAAAGCGAACTTGTTATAGGGTAAGTGTGTGGGAAAAGTAACACTGTTTTAGATGTTCAAAAATTGCGAGCCCCGCCCCCTTTCTTTTTAAATTTCCTGGCACATAGTAGGATCTCATTATATGGTAACTATTTCTTCTAGTACTTTAGTGTATTGCATACCGTGGATGCATTTAAGAGGAGAGAAGATGACAAAGTCCCCTACTGGTTTTGCACCTAGGTAATTAAAGCCCTCTGCCTCAATTTCCTAAATGCAGATTAGAATTTCAGACCGAACTGAGCTATGTGTGAAATTTTTTATAAACAGTAAATGTAAAGCACTTGAGAGTTATTCCTAGGGGACAGTTGCTTGCTGTGTGAGATATTCGGGGCTGCACATCCCCAGCTGAGTAGGACCTTTTCTTTGATCCCTGAACAACTCCAGTGTCCAATCAGGGTATTGGAGGCTATGCATCAGAGGAACGCACTCTGGATGTGAAGAACCATCCACAGGTTTGGACCTAAAGCTTTTCTCAATTTGTTCTTCATACTCATACCTTCAAATTGGGGCCGATATGCAGAGATAACACACACTTACAATTTTAGTCCATGAAAATCTGTAATGTTGGTAATTCAGTGAATCATACTTCCTTCTAGCCCGGTTGCAAAAAAGAAATTTTGTCATCTTTAATACCTACCACTCTTCCTTTGTATCCAAATAATCAATTTGTACTCATTTGTTCTCACACCAAATATCAAATCCAAGCACTTATTCCTGTCTCTGTCTTTGTCATCCTCAAGCAAGCAATCATTATCTCTTGCTCAGTTTCATGTGGTAGCTTTCTAACTGGCCTATTCTTCATCCTTTAAATATTCCCATCCATTTGTCGCCCTGCAGAAGGAGTTTTAAAAATAAAACTTTGGTTATGCTATTCACCCTTATACCTGGATTCAAACCCACCATGGCTTCTCATTAAAAGAAAGGGGTAGGACAGAGTGTTTATTTCCATAGAAGCCCCGAAAGCTCCTGACATCAAATGACAAATCCCACAAACAGGTTTTAATTGTGTCTGATAAGTCACCTATTTGTCCCCTAAAAGTTTAGTACCATATACTTTATCATTCCGAACTAGATATTTTTGATAGTAAAGTAAATGCTGTTATTTATACTAGGACAAACGTCTTAATCTGGACATACGTTTACTCTACCGTGGCTTGTTTGCAGTCTTTTTGCACTATTTTTTCCTCGACAGCAGGGACTTTGCCCAGGTTCTTCTACTTGCTGGATTTGCTCTTTCCTTTTCTTTTTAGAAATTCTTGCTTATCTTACATATTTCAGGTCAAGTGTTTTCCCTTTAAGTCTGCCTCTGACTAGTCTGTCAAGGACCAATCTTACTATAATAGGCTCTTACGACAGTTATCTCCCCTTTGTAGCATTTGTCACAAATGCAAATTTAAAATCTGTATGTGTCTGGTGAATAGAATGTAGTTAATAAATACTTACATATTTGACATAAGCATTGTCTCCTTTTATGAAACAGTCTGAAAATGTCAGGTAGTGGTTAGGGACACAGACTTTAGAGCCAGACAGATAGATGATTTAGATTTGAATTGTAACTCTGCCACAATTCCTTGGCTGAAACTTGTGGGGCTAACTGATTTTTCAGGTTATAGAAAGAACATAGTATGGATACTGTATTGTTTCTGATAATGTCCATATGTATTATAGCTTTTCTTTGTAAAATGAATCCACTTAAAGTAGGATAAAGACAATATATACCATTTCTCAACAGTTTAGGTCAAGGTTTGCTAACAAATGAATTTGCCACAAATTTATGAAAACATTGTGTTTTCATAGCTTTTCAGAGTTTTGAATTTCAGCTAAGGATGTTAGTCTGTCTCAGTGTATACTCAAGCTAGCTGTCGCTTCCCTTCTGTGTGCCTCAGACCTCACATCTGTAAGACAGACATGATACTAGTACCTGTCTATTTTGTAGGTTCCATGCTGAGTTGTTTTGAGGAGATTAAAGGAATTAATAAATGAGAACCTCTTAGAACAGTGATGGCAAACCTTTTAGAGCTTTCAACGCTACAAACAGCCTGCTGTGGCATGCGGGCCATAGATTTGCTGCCACTGTCTTAGAACACTGACTGGTCCTTAGGATTTATGTAAGGGTCAGGTCTCATGTCATTTTTATTACCTCCAGAATAACACTATGGATAAAATAATTTATCTGTTGTATACTTATTATTGGTCATTTATACTTCAAGTACCAAATGTAGTAATGAATGTCTTTATACTTAAATCTTTCTTTTACCATTTTGATTATTGAAGATCAATCCCTAAAAATGAAATTACAGAATTAAAGGACAGGAATGTTGTGAATGTTCTTGAACTGTATTACCATACTGCTCTTCAGAAGAACTATATAGTTTATAATCCCAATTGTTAATTTTATGCCCACGTAGGCATTATTTTTTAATTGATAACCTCACAGATAAAAATATTTCCTTATTTTAATCACACTCATCATTATTAATGTGTTTAAGCATCAAACTCTATTTATTGGTATTTTCTGTATAAACTCTTATGGTTTTTCTATTGGACTCTTTCAAAAATATTTTTATTTTTAATTGACCCATAGTGATTATACATATTTATGTGGTATAGTGTGACATTTAAATACATGTATACAATATACAGTGACTAGATAAGAGTAATTGCTATATTTACACCTCAAATATACACCATTTCTTTTATATTTAGGATACTTGAACATTCTCTCTGCTACAACATTAGAAACTGTTTCTCCTGTGTGACTGTATCCCCGTACCCACTCACCATCCTCTCTGTTTTTTTCATATCAGTGTTCAGTTGTTTTATTTCTGTTTTCCTAGCCTACACAGGAGCAAGTGTGCAGGGCTTTGGCTGGGATCAGTACAAGAAGGTATCCCTGGAGCCTGGGGCAGGTTATTACTTGCCTGTAGGCTACCACATCAGGTAGAAAACTGTGTTCAGAGGCTGGGTCTCGGGGAAAAGTTGAGATCAACAAAAGGCTGACTTCCTGTTCATCTGAACCTTCAGTCTAATGGGGCTTGGAAAAAACAGAACAAACAGGTAGGAGTCAAAGGACTAAAGTAGATAACGATGAGAAGCACAAACCTGGGACTGGAGACTAACTTTTCTAACTTTTCTGTGGGTATGTTGCAGATTCTTCTGTGGGGCAGTGCTGGGGAAGCTATCTTGGCCGCACATTGTTAATCTTTGATACAGTAAAAATATTAACCTTTTACTTGCCCTATGGGGCATTTCCCCTGTAGTGGCCTTTTCATTTAGCTTATGATGGTTTTTTATTTTGCTTTATTGATTTATTTAATATTTTTGGTGGTGTTGGGGACTGAACTCATGGCCTTGTGCTGTGTTTTCTTCCACTGAGCTACAACACAGCCCTCGAGGTGATTTTTGATTTATAGAAACTAAAACAATTTGAGGCTTAATTTTTTCCTTTATGATTCATTGCTTTTATATTTAGAAAGTCCTTTCCATACAGGTGCTATCTCTATTTTTTCTACAAATGTTATTTTGTGATGTCTACAAATGAAGAAGTAATAACAATAGGTAAAATTAATGTAATTATTAATGAAAACCCTAGAAGATGATTATCAAAAGGGTGATACAACATCTTTGTGCTCCTTGAAGACAGAAGAAAGGAGATTATGCTGATGTGGGAGGAGACTGAGAAAGACTTTCTCTGATGGTGTCTGCTTTATATCGTGAACCTGTCATATCTTATCCTTAAAAGACTGGAAAGTGTCTTCTGAAAAAGAAGATGTGATCTTGAGATTTTTTTACTCTTATCCACTTGATGATCCTGTATAGTATTTCAAATACCCATAGTTGCTAGATATTGAGAAATAATTTCCCTGGTTGTAATAGAGGCTTAACAGTAGAAAATATGAAATAAAACTAATTGCTGCCTTTGTTGACATTGATAAATTGCTATGCTTTAATATGTGGTTTTCTTTCTGCTGAACTCCAGTATGGATTAGTGAGGCTAATTGTGTTTTGCTTGGATCTATTGTAGGGCTCTAGAATGTGAAGAATGGGCGACTACCTGTTAAATTATATTAATATATCCACTCTTGGTTTATTAACTAAAATAAATTATAGAGTGTATGAGAAACTAATTACCTCACAAGTTCTTGCAGTTTTATTGACCTGAAGTTGTTTTACTGAATAAAGGTTTGTAAGGTGAGGGGCAGTGACTTTAATAATTTATTAAAATACCTTTTCTACATATAATGGACTGCATAAAATTATCTTTCTTAATAACCACTAATGTCAGAGTGAATATCAATCAAGGTGTGATGTTACATTAGAAACAAAGAAAAAAAAAACAAATTTTCTATTGATGAAGATAAATTGATTTGAAAATCTCATTTAAAAAAACCATTAATAAGCCAGGTGTGGTGTACACTTGTAATCTCAGCTCCTCAGACAACTGAGGCAGGAAGATCACAAGTTTGAAGCCAGCTTGAACAATTTAGTAAGAGGCTGTCTCAGAAAAAGAACATATACAAAGTGCTAGCGATGTAGCTCAGTGGTAGAGACCCCAGAGTTCAATCCTCAGTACAGTACTCAAAAAAAACAAAACAAAACGAAACCCCGCCCCCCCAAAAAAAACCCAAAACTAGAAAACTGAGACCAAAAACAAGCTAAAGAATACATCCTATCACCAATTGTAGATTCAGGACTTTCATTCATACTGAGCTATAAACCTGACTCTTTTATTTTTATTATTTCTTAGAGTCTTTCTAAGTCACTAATTGCCCAGGCTGGGCTTGAACTCGCACGCAGTCCTCGCGCCCACCTCCTGGAGTGCTGGTATTACAGGCAAGCATCACCACATCCAGCTCGAGTTGTTTTATTTTTTAATCTAAACCTAGTAAATAAAATTAACTCTTTAGTTAGCAGTGTTAATTATTTAAACATTTATTCAACAAGTGTCTTTTGGGTGCCTGTGATGTGCCAGGCACAGCTG